TATAAATAGATTTTTATTCTATTATATATTTAAATTTAATAAATAAATATATAATGTAATTTTTAATTTAAAACTGAATATTCTTAAATAACTCATAAGTAATTATGGACGTTTAAGCTCAAACTTGTTTTTTTATTGAGCTCAACATTAAGTTCCAACGTCAATAACTTAAGTAATTCAGTGCTAATTTCTTTTTATTGAAAATAAAAAATTTCAAGTTTGAGTGTTGCATGATATACAAATGAAATGGGATAAGAGAGAAGAGATGATTATTTCTTATTGTACAACCAAAATCAAATATTAAATTTGAGATTGATTTGTTTATCAAATGAGTCGAACTCAAATTGATTTCAACTCAAGTAGCTCCTAAATTACTCACGAACTACTTTACTCATTAACGACCATTGTCTTGACCCTAAAGTGGTAAGTCAAAGGCCATCTTTTGTTATCATCTTCTATTGTCTATTTTTAACCTTCAAAGTTCTCAATTACTGAAATTTCCCGCTAATTTACTTGGCTCATTCGCATTTCTCTCTTATGGTTGATTGAAATTCAACAAGAAACAGGTCACAATGAAGCAAAATTTTAAGAATCTCACAGTCCAAATATGATTAATCTGTCTTTAAAATGGACTGAGGAGATCAGAACCTGTAAGAGAAGGGAGAAAAGAGCTACCCTTTTATACTGGTAACACAGTTTCAAAAACCCAAATCACTTGTCTTGAACCATGTAATGTTGCAGGACATGGTTCCTAAGTTAATGGTTTGAAAAAATCGGCGACCGTTTTGGTTATTATGCCCATCTTTCACCCCATCTTACTGTTTATTCCTGCAGTCTAACGCTTCAGAATCTTTCACAAGCTTCCAAACACATTCAAAGGATGGCTCAAAGCATCAAAAAGTAAATTGACATCACTTCACTTGGAAACTTGAAGAAAATGAGGAACACAGGGCATAGCTAAGTCACAGCATATTATTTTTATACTTAACAAGGGTCATTGGCATTACCCAACATAGGGGCAAGCCCTGCAGATAGTGCCATGGAACATCCAGTTCCAGAGCATCTTACTAGAAACCAACTAGTAACTAGTTTGCTTACTTATGATTAGACAATCATCAGTCAGGGCAGACAACAAATACTACTGTACTATCATTACAATGAAAGTCTTGCCTGCCCAAATCAACATTTACACCATCTTAGCCTGGAGGCCAGTTCATTTGGCGGCCACCAAGGAGGTGGACGTGAATGTGATAAACAGATTGACCTGCAATGGAACACTCCTACGTCAATAAAAGTTCTAAAACATACACATGACACACATTTAAGCATGTAAAACGGAGAAAGAAGAAACTGTACATACATCCTTGTGGGCCATCATTAATCACAACCCTGAAGCCATCTTCCAGTCCTTCCTGTTTGGCTACCAGCTTAGCAGTGTAAAGAAGGTGGCCAAGAATCTCAAAGTGCCTTTCCTCAGCCTACAGATATAAGAATAGAAGTTCTTAATGACAATTGTACAAAATACAAATTCTTTCAATCATCTTTTGGTATGGAAAAGGGCACAGTGTCCTATATCCAACAATAAAAATATTTTAATAAAGTACCATTCAAGGTTAAGAATAAGAATTTTCAGGACTTGCTGAAGTGGCCAAATAAATGTCAGCTTTGAGTGCCACTTCCCACCTATGAGGCTACAAAAATATTGAACCATACAGCCAATGCATTGTTCTAAGCCACACTTAGCTCAAAGGAGTAACAATGAAGCCAACAGTTACGGAAATGGAACACAAAACAAACCATTGACAATGTGCAGTTCAAGTGCTTTTATCAAGGTCTTACACTTCTGATTTTGTCAAACACTTTAGTGAAGGGTGGAAAGCAGAGAAAGCACCTATTGTACTTGCATCAATGCACCACAAACAAGAACCATTTTACAAGCATGTTTACCACTCTTTTAGGCAAATGTTAGAACAGGTCAGGCAGATTAGCAGACGAAATCAAGCAGGTATCTTCTAAAACAGGTCTATGTTTGAAGGGGTTAGATTTTTAAAATGATCAAATCCCTACCAGGATATAAAACAGAGTGTTCACAAATCATGCAAAAGCTAGCTGATGCAAGATATCTTCAAGTGGATGCCATACCAAATTACAAAGAAACAAAGGAACATTCATAGTCTATTGAGTTACATTTCATAAATGGCACGGTAATATATTGAAGAGAAAGAGTTGTACTACAAGGCCCATGACTTTCCCCAAATTAGAGTAAAAAATCATTGTCTTACCCTATATGATTAAGAAAGGGGTTTACCTTTGACAGTCCAGTCAAGCCATCTTTTACTTTGGGAATAATTAGAATATGCGTGGGAGCTTGAGGAGCTATGTCCCTAAAGGCTAACACCTGGAAAAGCAAATAGAAGAAAGCACAAACAAATTATAAAACCAGAGGTAATGGATCAACTACCTTATGCAACCATATATATTAACTGGAAACTATAGTATACTCAAAGCCATTTTCAAAGTGAAAATATAGAACCAAAACCAGTAATTCATCTACACAGATAATCAGAACAATGCATCTATTATATGATTCAAGAAAACAACACTAGTTGTTCAATCCAATCCGAAAATACTTTTTGCAAAAAATTGGATATTCTATTAAAAAACTTGAACAGTTGAACTAAATACATTTCATGTAGTTGTTCGCACCAAATAACTAAAAGTAAAACCAAACCACCTCAGTTCACTTCTAAACAAGAATTAAGCAAAAGCATCCAAATTTTGTAGTCAAGGTTCTGTCTTTAGCTACCCTACTAGAATACTCACTACATCCACCTAAACCTTAATCAGTCCAAACCATTACAAATAGAAATTTCACCACTTCCCGACAGATAAAAAGGAATAGCACTACCTTATCATCCTCATAAACCACATTTGCTGGAATCTCTTTCTTGATGATTTTGTCAAAGCTGAAAGTAATGCATTTGGAAAATAAATAAAAATGGATGGAAAACTATTTTTACAAAAACCTAAAGGACAATTCAATTCTAGTAACACCTAAATTACTAAAACAATCACTGAATATGTTTGGATATAAGAAAAAGGAAAACGGTTCCAATATCATGAATCAAGCTGACATTTTTTCTCTAATTTCTAAGAAAGTTGTTTCCGTTCTTTTCCATTTTCCGTCGAGTCAAACGGAGCGCATGTGTTTCATCTGTGTGCGTTTCAAAAATAGAATCAAAAGAAAGAGGCAGAGATTTGAGAGCCGGAGAGAAGAAACATACATGGTCGGAGCATCGGCGGGGGCAGCCGCAAGAGCGGCTTCTTTCTCAGAAGCCACGGCGGAAGACGAAGAATCCGGAGACAAATGGGATCGCAGCACAGTGAGTCTGCTGCTAGCTGGACCTTTTATATTTTCCTTGTTACTTATTCCGGGCCCTCACGCTAACCAGATTCTTTTATCTAAAAAGTGCACCACATTTGCAGCTGCATCATATTGTGCTATATTAATTTTTAAATAAAAATTAGCCTCTTAAAGTTAGGTTTTTTTTCTTATT